GACACATGACCCACCTTACAAATCACAACTGCAAAAAGAACTATTAAAGGCTTAATAGATCCTGGGGCCGACATAGCTGTCATCTGAGCCCAAGATTGGCCAACAGAAATTCCCCTTGTGCCCTGTTCACAAACTCTTAACGGAATAGGGGGCCAAGACGGTCCCCTACAAAGTAAATGTCCTGTTGTATGCGTTGATGTGGAAGGGCACCGAGCCATCGTAAGACCTTTTGTTCTAAACATCCCCATTTCTCTCTGGGGAAGAGACTTACTAAAGCAATGGAATCTTCCCCTACAGACAAATTTATCCTGACGGCCATCGCTACAGAAACCGCCCTCACTCAAGCTGTCTTGGAAAAACCAGGTCCCGCTGCTTGGGTGGAGCAATGGCCTATAAAAGGTGACAAACTAAAACACCTACTAACCCTAATGGAATTAACTCGTGAGCATAGAGAACCTTCTACCAGCCCGTGGAATGCTCCTATCTTTTGTATCCCCCCAAAATCAGGCAAATGGAGATTGCTACATGATTTACGGGCAGTTAACGCTCAAAATGATTCCCACGGGGCCCTTGCAGTTTGGTCTTCCAAATCCTTCCTTACTCCCTTCAACTCAAAATCTCATTGTGACCGATCTCGAAGATTGCTTCTTTACTATTCCCTTGCACCCTGAGGATAAAGAAAAATTTGCCTTCTCTGTCCCCACGGTCAACAATCACAGAGCTGTACAAAGACACCGATGGAAGTATCTGCCCCAGGGGATGATGAAGAGCCCCACCCCCCAAGTGTCAGTCTTTTGTTGTTAGTGCAGCCTTTTGACCTGCCAGAAATAGATTCCCACAAATACTTACCACTACACGGATGATATCCTGCTTGCTTCAGATAATAACACCTTCTCCATACATGTTTACAATTTCTTACTGATTCAGTCACTGCCGCCGGTTTGCTCATCGCTCCTGAGAAAATACAAACAGCTCCATGGAAATATCTGGGGTACGAGCTCATGTTGCAGACGTCACTCCTCGAAAGATCGCTATCCGTTTTCCGTTTTCCGTCGCCACTTAACGTTTAGCTCACTGCGGCAATTCCTCGGACACATTAATCAGCTGTGTCCCACTTTAGAAATTCCTACTTGCCAATTGACCTCCCTTTTTAACTTGGAGATCCAAACCCTGCGTCCACATGATCGATGACGCCTCGAGCAAAACAACAACTAGATCTCCTATCCCAGTGACTAACCTCTGCTTCATTAGACCGTAGAGATCCCTCTGCCAGCATAACTTTCCTTGTCTTGAACACCCCTCACTCCCCTACGGGGATAATCTGCCAAGTCCTTGCCTGATAAATGCCTTGTTCTTGAATGACTTTTCGTCCCAGCGCAACCCAGACATAGGGTCGCCTCTCACCTCTCTCTGATTACAGCTCCCACAAGAGGTCGGAAAAGAATAATTCAGCTAACTGGCTTTGATCCCCAATCTATCTACTTAGGCATCAGCAAAGAAGAAATGGATAATCTATGGATACATGACAAAAAGTTCCAAATTGCAATGGCTAATTTTACGGGTCAATTTATCTTCTCATTGCCCTCAGATAAACGTATCCAGAACCTCAAATATTTCCACCTGTTCTCCTACTCTCTCATTTCTAATAAAAACAGGGGAATACATGAAAATATGCCTATAAGCCTTTACCACACCCACTCACAGAGCAGAATTGGCTACTGCCATTCTTGCTCTAAAAATCTCTTCTCAAACACCTATTAATCTAATAACAGACTCCCAGTTCATGGCACAATTATTGACGGACCTCCCTTCCACCACTCTTACACACACACACACACACACACACATTGATCGCCCTCTACTATCTATGTTTCTTGAAGCTCAGGCATCGTTACAACACAGGTTCTCCCTGTTGTTTGTCCTTCACATGCGCAGTCATTCTCATCTCCCGGTCCTCTTACGGAGGGCAACAATTGTGCTGATTCCTTACTTACCGGATCTTTATTCTCCTCTGCCTTGGATTCTCACTCCTTTTTTCACCAAGGGGCAGGGGCTTTGGCTACACAGTTTTCTATCTCTCTTTCACAAGCAAAACACATCATACACTCCTGTCCCGGCTGCCAACAATTTTCTTCTGCTCATCTTCCTGGAGGACTCGATCCCCGTGGTTTATCCATAAATCGACGATGGTAAATGGATGTGACCCACTTCCCCTCATTTGGACGACTACAATGGGTACATGTTACTATTGATACTTAATCTGGATGTCTATGGGCCTCCGCTCAGAGCGGTGAAGGCTCCTCTCATGTCATTACTCATCTCCTGGAATGCTTTGCCACAATGGGCATCCCCCCAAAACTGAAAACGGACAATGGCCTGGCTTGTACATCCCATCACATAACCCAATTCCTAAATGATTGGGGAATCACACATTCTCCTGGCATTTCCCCGAAATCCTCCAGGTCAAGCCATTGTCACACGTGCCAATGGTATCTTGAAACTACTTCTGCATAGAAAAGGGGGGGATTGAGGCCCCCCAAATGAGAATAATGAAGGCACTGTTTACTATTAATCACATACAACTAGACAAACATTTTAATTCGGCTCATTCAAAGCATTTTCGGGTTGAGGAACCCCTTCCCAAACTGCAAGTATGGTACAGACTGCCCAATGGGGGGCCACAATGGAATGGCCCAGGACCTTTACTCACTTGGGGGAGAGGTTACACTGCTGTACTTTCTCCACAAGGTCCGATGTGGCTACACGCTTGGCTGACTAAGCCTCACCATGAGCTGGCACGAGGAATTCAAACGCCCGCTTCCATGCTTCAGCCTGATGTCGGTAACCCCACCACCCAGCATGCCATCAGCCAAGGAAAGGAAGAATGAACCAACACCTATCAACGACATCTCATGGGGTGATGTAAAAGGGCCCACAGCTATTTTAGACATCATGGCTGTAGCCGCTACCACGGCAACCGCTGCTGATCTTTGGCTGCTTCCCTCCAAACGGCACAAGTGCATTCACATATGCAAAACACTACAACCGATTTAGAAGAACAGGTCAAAATTAACAAATTTGGTTAGGAAAACATCAACAGGCAGTGTGGACTAGATCCCAATTAACTTGTGACTCGGAGTTTACCTCCTACTCATTACTTCGATTCCCTATAACAAGACTTGGGGGCAACTGAAAACTCATTTTTTTTTTTTTAAGATTTTATTTATTTGAGAGAGAGAATGAGATAGAGAGAGCATGAGAGGGGGTAGGGCAAGAGGGAGAAGCAGACTCCCTGCTGAGCAGGGAGCCCGATGCGGGACTCGATCCCAGGACCCCAGGATCATGACCTGAGCCGAAGGCAGTCGCTTAACCAACTGAGCCACCCAGGCGCCCTGAAAACTCATCTTAATCAAGGCTTTTCCTCCTCCTTGAATCTCTCCATTGAAAATATATTTTTTTAAGATCTTATTTATTTGTCAGAGAGAGCACACGTGCACACACAAGCAGGGGGGTGGAGCAGAGGGAGAAGCAGACTCCTTGCTGAGCAGGGACTCCATCCCAGGACCCCGGGATCATGACCTGAGCCGAAGGCAGACCCTTAACAGACTGAGCCACCCAGGCATCCCTGTCCATTGAAAATCTAAAACTTAAGTAACAAGCACAAATACAGGAACTCCAACAAGAACGTCAACAAGCTATACCATTAATACTCTCAATGATATTTCTACCTGGCTCTATCCAAAAAACTGGTTCTCTGAGCTCAATCTCCACTCTTGGTTTTACATGGCTATGCTGCTTTTAATAATCTCCTTTCTCGTTATAGTCATCATGGCAAGCCTCCCCTGCTGTTCTGCCTAGAGGACCCGAAACATACTTGTAGTGACCACACAGATCCTTGCCACCCCCTTAAATAGCCCACCTACATATCCCACTAAACAAAAAGGGGGACTGTGGAGTTATTCTTAGAATATTGTAAGCCCTAAGGGATGAGTGTGGAAGCAGCTGAAACGTCAGCAGCGTTCCTGGTCTCCGGCTGTTGAAAGCAATGGCCCAGAAGGAACAGGATGCCACCATCTCCAGGGGCAGGGCATAGGTTAGGAGCTAGGAAAGAATGTAACCCTCATCCCCGCTTCCTGCACCTGGCGATTAGTAGCACAAACATCTTGCTCCTCCCTTATCCCATGACTGCCTCCCTGCATGCCTACAGGTCATCTGGTAAAATGCAAGCCTGCTTCAAGATATTTGCCATCCCTTTGTACTCCTTTCCCACGCTTGGAAGCATCTGTCCTGGCTTTTCTGATAAAAAACAAAATAAAGGCTATGAGCAGAATCCAGCTGAGGCTGCCTCTGGCAGAGGCAGTCCTGCTCGGCCCCTCAGATGTTGTCTGAGAACTTTGTTTCAGTGCGTGAGGACGTATGTGCTGCTTAAGTGATGACTATGTTGTCTTTTTAAATTATTTTTAAAAGAGGGAGAGAGTGTGTGAGCAGGGAGGGGCAGAGGAAGAGGGAGAGAGAATCTCAAGTAGACTCCCTGCCCAGCGCAGAGGACACAGGGCTCAATCTCAAGGTCGAGAGATCATGACCTGAGCCAAAATGAAGAGTCAGCAGCATAACCGACGGACCAAGCCACCCAGGCGCCCCGGGACTGCTCAGGGTCGGACCCGGGTTCGGGGGGCCGTCAGTGCTCAGGGCCCTATCTGGGGTTGGGGGGGCATCACTGCGTGGGCCCAGACCCGGAGGTGGGGGAGGCCATCGCTGCTCAGGGTCGGACAGGGTGGGGGTGGGGTGCGGCGACCCGGTCGTCTGTGGGCCCCGGTCCCCGAGCAGCCCCAAACGCCCGCAGAGGCCCTTCCCTCCCCGAAACACCTCACCGCCGCTCTTCTCCCGGAGGCGCCCGGGGCTCGCGCCGTCCCCGCGACCTCGCCCCTTCCGGCCCGGGCCGGAAGTGACGCGTCGTGCCCCGGAAGCGCCCCTGGAGCGGCGGCGGAAGCGGCGGCGCGATGGCGGCGGCGGCGGCGGCTCCCGCGCCCGAGGCCTGGCCCGAGCTGGAGCTGGCCGAGCGCGAGCGGCGGCGCGAGCTGCTGCTGACGGGGCCCGGGCTGGAGCAGCGGGTGCGCGCGGCGGGCGGGCGGCTGCCGCCGCGGCTCTTCACGCTGCCGCTGCTGCACTACCTGGAGGTGAGCGGCTGCGGGAGCCTGCGCGAGCCGGGCCCGGGCCTGGCGCAGGGCCTCCCGCAGCTGCACAGCCTCGTGCTGCGGCGCAACGCGCTGGGGCCCGGCCTGAGCCCCGAGCTCGGCCCGCTGCCCGCGCTGCGCGTGCTCGACCTGTCGGGCAACGCGCTGGAGGCACTGCCGCCGGGCCAGGGCCTGGGCCCCGCTGAGCCGCCGGGCCTCCCGCAGCTGCAGAGCCTCAACCTCAGCGGCAACCGGCTGCGCGAGCTGCCCGCCGACCTGGCGCGCTGCGCCCCGCGCCTGCAGACCCTCAACCTCACGGGCAACCGCCTGGACTCCTTCCCCGCCGAGCTCTTCCGTCCCGGCGCGCTGCCGCTGCTCAGCGAGCTGGCGGCCGCCGACAACTGCCTCCGGGAGCTCAGCCCCGACATCGCGCACCTGGCCTCGCTCAAGGTCAGCGGGGACCTGCGGGGCGGGCCGGGGCCCTGGAGGCGTGGCGGGGAGGGAGCTGCGCCTGGAGCCGGGCCGCCCTCCCGTGCCGGGGCCTCCAGCCTCGCGGGCCTGGCTCCACTGGCGCTGCGTTCTGCGACCCGTTGTTGCGTAGTTGTTAGCAAGCTCGGCCCCCGCCTCCGGTCGGGAGCAGGTCAGCAGCAGGGCCCCCTAAGTGTCTCTAGCTCCAAACACTTGTGATTTTGTGACCGTGGCGGGGAGGCGGCCCCCAGCCAAGGCTCGGATGTGAAGTAACAGGCATTCCCGTAGTGCGGTTCGCTGTGATTTCATGTTAGGTGTTTCCCTCAACCCTGACGACTGCCTTCCAAGGGAAGAGGTGGTTATTCCCGTTTAACAGAGGCCGGAAGGGGTTGCTCACAGTCAACAACAAATACTTTGGGTTTTCCTCTAGACCCCGTTGTCCAGGAGCTGCTTGCTTACTCCTCCCCGGGCCCCAGCATAATGCTGGGCGGGACAGGTGCCCCTTAAGCCTGCTGAGTAGGAGTGGGGAGGATGGAAATTTCCCGGCCACACCTAAATCCATTCTAGAGGCTCCTGTCCAGCACCAGAGTCTCCTCTGTGTCTTTCCGTTTCATCCTTAAAAAGGCAGATCTGTATTTCTTCTTATTCCTACTTTTCATCCTTTTAATGCAGACTTTCTTAAGCGATAAAACGTGTCTACGGTTCAACAACTGGTTTATTTCAGCAGAAGTTACTCTTAAGATACTGTCAACTGATCTGACAAATATGTGTTATGTCTGTGTACAGATCTAAATGCGTGTGCGTACGCGTGTATGGATGTGTGTGTACGTGTGTGTTTGTAGTTAAGAGAAAGGGGTGCCACGTGCTTGCTGGCATTTGCATCGCGAGGCTGTGGGGCTGACTCCCGGGGCACTGTGGTCATCCAGGGCTGGAGGCTTCGCTTTGTGGCTTAGGTGTGACAGATCACATACAACCCCGTTTACTCCATCTTCCCATCTGTCAGATCTCTCGGTTTTCCGGAAGGTCGGTGTACGAGGTACACCGCTGAGTACAGGTCGTGTGAGTGCAAAATCACTTGTTCTACTTCTCTTCAGATCCAGAATGTCTTCCCGGTGGTTAGGTTTGTTTTGAGTGTTCTGTACTACGTGTGCGGCACCCACCAGTGATGTCCGTGGCCTTCATGTGTCCTGACACTGTCGTTCGGGGGATGTCTCCTCTGCCGGCCCCCCGCCCCCCCGCTGGGCTTCCATCGATCTCTTCCACCTGAAGGGGCCTGTCCCTGTCGTGGAAGGTGTGGTGCCAGAGCTAGCTGGAATCTCTTTTGGATTTCGATGTCCTCTGGGGGCCTTTCTAAGATGATGCCCCCGTGCACCATGCCACTAGAACCGTGCGAAGCAGCGTTGCTGCACACGCTGGGGTTGTGCGAACGGACACCCCTGCAGCTGCTGTGGGAAGGCAGCTGGGGTGCAGGAAACTGAGCTCGGAGGCAGAAGTGTGGGCTCCCTCAGCGTCTCGTGGCCGTGCCACTGGTTCCTGCACCGGGTCCTTGCCCGTGGGACACTTGGAGGGACGGCCACCGTGCCACGAACGGGGAGGACTCCAGGACCGACCGAAGCCTTGTGCGGGAACAGCGACCGTCGTTTTACGTGCTGACGGGCCCCTCCCCGGGGTGGCACAGAGCCGCTGTGCTTGCTCGGTCCCGAGTTCAGCTGGCGGCAAGCGCAGGGCTGGGCTCGCGGGAACGCTGTGCTGGCTGCTACTCCCCGGGACGTCCGGGCGCCGTCCTCTGCCCAGCATCCTAGTGCACTTGTTCGTGGCAGCCCAAGGCTCCTGAGAGCACAACTGCAAGAGGCGTAGGCTTGGAGCTGGCACCTGGCACTCCCACCGCGCCCGGCAGATGGGACGAGTGAAGCCCCGTCCACGTTCCTGGGGAGACTTCATGCAGGAGGTAAATTCCTGGGGCGCACGGCTCCCTAGGAGCCGCTGGAGTAGCCGCACACAGGCCTCTGCCTGTCCCTCCCCTCACTTCCAGAGTGCGCCCTCCCCCAGGGAGCTGCCCCAGGTGGTGGCCCCAGACCTGGCTGCCGTGAAGGCCCGACCCTCGTCCCCACTCTGGCAGCCGGTGACAAGGAAGCCCTAGAGATGGCCGAGTACTGTCTGTGCCAGACTTCACCAGCTGGTTAGCAGCCCTGTACTGAGCCCAGTTCTGTCGCCGTCCTGCTGTCAGGCTTCACAGAGAAGTTGAACTCGGATTGTGAAACCTCTGTCCAGCACCCAGACACACTGAAGTTTAGAAGCCCTTCCTCCGCCTTTATCCTCCCGATGGGCTGCTTGGTGCCTGGGTGGGGTTTGGGTCCCCTCCAGCGGGCGTGCCCGCTGGAACGAAGACGGCTCCTAGCGCCCCTCCGGAGGTGGCGTGTTAGTCTCGGGGTCTCACAGCCAGGGATTTAGCACCCCTTCCCCAGCATACGGCCCTGCAGTGGTGATGTTCCCAGAGGCGCTCGGCGGCCCAGGCCCAGTGCCATCTGTGTGACCTGCAGGAAGGGGGTAAACGGGGTCTTCGTGTGTCGGCTCCAGGCACATTTTGGGGCGCCGGTCCATGTGCAGTTAATTCTACTCTGCGTTTTGTACCCTTTGGGGGTTGGCACGCACAATCTAAACTCGGCTTCCTGGTCAGAGACCTGCCCTCCTGCAGGAGTTAAAGTCCGCACTGACGTTCCCTGTCACCTCAGGGCTCCTCCGGAGGCTCCCTTGTTCCTTTAGTGTCCTTTTCTAGGCGTGAAACCCCACTGAGTCTGCTGCACTTACCTGCTGGTGTCCACATTTCTACAGGGCCCCCAGCTTCCAGAACCCCAATCTGCCGCCTCCCCCTGCCCGTCCACATTCTCACGGGGCCCAGCCCAGGGCCTGAGCTGCCCTCTGGGCCCTGACCGCTGACCCTGCTTACTGCTCTGAGATGTCCATGATTTGCTCGTTGTTAGCCGTGAAGGAAGCCCCCTGACCCGGGACCCTCACACCGTTGGCACTGTGGTGGGGGCGGCAGCCAGGGAGGTGCGGCCCCCCCAGTCTCCCCTCCTCGCCGGTTCCTCCTCTGCTGCCAGCCCATGGCGTCCACCTGGCCGGCCTCCTGCAGCAATGACAGTGACCCCGACGGAGTCCTCCAGCTGGCCTGAGCCCTTCAGACAGTGTGGCGGACCCCAAAGCTAGTGTGTGCTACCCCAAACCTGACCTCAGAACACCAGCCCCTCACAGCCACTCACAAGCTCCGACGGTGGGGCTGATTCAGTCCCCCTCCCCCACCCTTCCCAGGCCCGCTCGAGTGAGGGGAAAGGCCCGGTGAGGCACAGAGTGACCACAGCTGTAGGAAATCGTGTTGCCCACAGCCCCTCGGGGCCGCTTGGTCCCCCCAAGGTGACTGACGGCCAAGTCTGGCTTACGTGCTTCCTTCCTCTCATTGTCCCCGGTCCTGAGTGCAAGCTGGAAGCTGGTTCTAGCTGCTCGCTGTCTCCTGAGCCCTGGCAGAGGCTCCGCAGCGGCACCAGGTGCTCGCCCGGCTGTGAGTTTGTGTGCTGGCTCTCGGGCTTCAGCAGCCTCAGGATTGCTTCATTGACAGCCGGGGTCTGACTCGTCCCCACTTCCAGCCAAGCAGGCGGCATCTTCTGGATCATCAGCCCCTGCTCCCCTTTCAGCTCGTGACAAAATCCCTCACCTGTCTTGTTGGGGCCTGTTAGGTCCCAGTCAGGCCCAGGACTGGTGCTGGCCTAGCCCACCCAGTACCAGTGCTTGCAGTGTGTGTGTGTGTGTGTGTGTGTACACGCGCATAGCGGGGGCGGGGGTGGTGGCTGCCCTCTCACCACAGCTGCAGGAGGGGAAGCAGAGGACCTGCCCCAGACCCGCCTTTCCCTCCTGCCCGGCCCAGCTCTGGCGTGATGACCCCGCAAGGTGGCTGTTCTGATGGTTTCCATGCTGTTAGCGATGCTGATACCAGGTGTGCGTGTTTGCCAAAGCCCAGTCATTAATAGTGATGGCAGGTTCTTCTGCATGGGCCGTAGCGTTTCACGAGCCTCCTTATGGCGCAGACAGCAGCGGCCCTGTAGCCTCCTGGGTCAGGATGGGGGCCGAGAACCCAGGCCAGCGTCAGAGCCGGTTCGCCATTCTGCACACAGGTGGAGTTGAGCATGCTGCATCGTCTTGCTGGGGGCTTTGTATTTCCATATGAAGAGGAATGCTTGTTACTCATGCTGTGTTTTCTTTTTAACTCGTTTAGTTAAAAAATGTGAGCACCATTTTGTGGGGAACCTGTTTCTCTTCTCAAGTACTTACAACCACAGGTTCTCGTTCTGTGCTCTTTTCTCTGTCACCTTCACCCATTGGGACAGTTGGCACCACAAGGCACCTTGCAGGGAGCAGGAATTGTTTCGTGGGGGTTGTTGGCAGCCATCACGTGGGCTGTGTGGCCGCGGTAGCAGGTGTCAGTCTGGGTGCAGAGCGGGGGACAGGCCATGTGGGGTGGGGCAGCGCTCGGGGAGGCGGTGTGTGACGGCAGGCCCTCCGTCTCCCTCCCAGATGCTGGACCTCTCCAACAACCAGCTCAGCGAGGTCCCAGCAGAGCTGGCCGACTGCCCCAAGCTGAAGGAGGTCAACTTCCGGGGGAACAAGCTGACGGACCGGCGGCTGGAGAAAATGGTGCACGGCTGCCAGACCAAGTCCATCCTGGAGTACCTGCGCAGCGGAGGCCGGGGTGGCGGGCGGTGCAGGGGCAAGGCGGACGGCCCGGAGAAGGAAGAGGCCCGCAGGAGACGGCGCGAGAGACGGAGGAGGGAGAGTGGCGAGGGGGAGGGGGAGGGGGTGGACAGCACTGGCAGACTGCTGCTCCGCGTCCTGCACGTGTCTGAGAACCCCGCCCCGCTGACCGTGCACGTCAGCTCCATGGTCAGGGACGTCCGGCCGTTCATCGTGGGGGCCGTTGTGAGAGGCATGGACCTGCAGGCTGGGAACGCGCTCAGAAGGTTCCTCACCTCCCAGGTGGGTGCACGCAGCCCAGGAAGGGCAGGGGCAGGGGCGGGCGGGCAGAGGGCCTGGTGGCCCGGGGTGTCGCTGTGTGTGTGCACAGGGTGGGTGCACGTGGCCCAGGAAGGGCAGGGGCGGGCGGGCAGAGGGCCTGGTGGCCCGGCGTCGCTGTGTGTGTGCACAGAGCAGGTCGGACCTGGGCCTCGGTCCCGGGGGCTGCCTGTGGGGGTGGGCGCCACCTGCTCATCCAGAGACCCTTCCAGTCCTGCCTTGTTTCTGAAGTCAACTTTGTTGCAAGGGGAGATCAGTGTTTCCCGAGTTTCTGATGTCTCCGGGGATTTTGTGGTTTCTGTAGTGAATTACACAGTTTCCTACAAGATAGTATGAAAATCGTCAGCTGTTATGCTAGACGAACATTGTGATTTGTTTTCTATGCAGTCAAGCCAGCTTTTAAAGTAGAAGCCACTTTGATGTTTGCAGACCCCCCCACCATGGCCCTGTGGGGACGATGCATCTTTCTGGAAGTCCGTGTCTTGTGCACTCCCAGCCAGGAGTTTAGAACTCAAACATCAGTGTTTTCAAAGAAAAACGTGCTGGGGATATTTTTCTTCTTAAGTCATATTTTTATTCAGCCATAAATTTTAGTTCAGGGAGAGTTCTTTGAAGTTTCAGATCCTCTGTTATAGAAAGAAGAAATTCTTCTGAACAGATAAGAGAGTTTTCCAGTGACGGTTCCACAGGATGTGTTTTGGGCGGGGGAGGCCACGGGAGCAGGCAGAGGGGCAGGGTGCAGGGCGGGCGGGCAGGGTGCAGGGCGGGCGAGTAGAGGGGTAGGGAGGGCAGGCAGAGGGGCAGGGCAGGCATGCAGGGGTGCAGGGCGGGCGGGCAGAGGGGCAGGGCGGGCATGCAGGGGCGCAGGGCGGGCGGGCAGAGGGGCAGGGCGGGCATGCAGGGGCGCAGGGCGGGCGGGCAGAGGGGCAGGGCGGGCAGGCAGGGGCAGGGCAGGCGTGCAGAGGTGCAGGGCAGGTGGGCAGAGAGGCAGGGCACAGGGAGGGTGGGCAGAGGGGCAGGGCGCAGGGAGGGCAGGCAGAGGGGCAGGGTGCAGGGCGGGCGGGTAGAGGGGTAGGGAGGGCAGGCAGAGGGGCAGGGCGGGCATGCAGGGGCGCAGGGTGGGCGGGCAGAGGGGCAGGGCGGGCAGCGCGGGGCGCTCAGGCACTGAGCTCGGCGGGTCTCGCGTTGCAGACGAAGCTTCACGAGGACATGTGTGAGAAGAGGACGGCAGCCACCATCGCGACCCACGACCTCCGGGCCGTGCGCGGGCCCCTGCTCTACACCGCCCGCCCACCACACGATCTCAAGGTGCCGGCACGTGCCCCTCCCCGTTGGCACCTGTTTTGCGTTTCCGTGAGGCGCATGCTCGTGACGGCGTGCCCGCGCTCCGAGGCAGCATCTGACACTGCCCCCGGCGAGTACCTCGGGTCACACACAGGCCGCGTTTGCGGTTTGTTGGAAAGTACACTCTTCAGAGGAGGGAGTTATTTCAAAGTGGTTTCCTTCATTTGCTCAGCTTTCACCAAACGCGGGTTTATGTACTGACTGCAGAACCCCTCATTTGGGTTGACTTGAGTGAGCTTGGCTTGTCTGTTCCTCCCTGGGGTGCGGCGGGTCCCCGCGGGCAGTCCGGGAGCCCAGCTGCACGCCTGGCTTGACCGGCCCCTCCCCCCCTCGGCCTTCCAGGGGCCACAGGCCTGGGCGACGCCATAGCGTGTGGCGGGTTGAAGGTTCAGCCCAGCTCCGGGAGGGCCGGCGTGTGTGGCAGGTCCCTGAGGGGCCTCTGGGGCCCCCGTGCTCACGGCACCATCACAGGGAGAAGGGAGGGCGAGCCAGGAGGGCACGCTGTGCCGGCGGCCACGTGAGCAGGGGGCCGGCAGCGTGTGGTGGCCGCGGCTGTGAGGAGGGCTCGTGCATCCGAGCTCACCACCAGGTGTTCACCCCACAGATAGTGCCCTTGGGGCGCAGAGAAGTCAAGGCCAAGGACCTGGTGCGGCAGTTACAGCTGGAGGCCGAGGAGCACAGGAAGCAGAAGAAGAGGCAGAACGTGTCGGGCCTGCACAGGTGGGCGGCGAGCCTCCCCTCGGGGCGCTGCACCCACCCTGCGGGGCGCACCTCCGGCCTCCACTTCACCCACAGGCTGCCGTAACTCAAGACTGTCCCGTACAGATGTTAACACCTCCCAAACTGCGCTCCCCGTGCTGTCAGGGACTCTCGTGTGGGGTTAAAGGAACCGTGCCAGACAGGCCTCTTCTCGGAGCGGGGCTCAGACGCTGCTTTGGGGAGAACAGGCTTTCTTAAGCGCACAGGCCCTTCGTCGGGAGGGCCGGGGGTCCTGCCCACAGCACGTGCACAGGGACGGGGGCAGTGCAGCCACCCTGATGACAGCAAAGCCATCAGGCCTACAGCGTTTTGTGCACATCACCAGCGCCTCGGGTGGGGTATGGGTGGCCTGCTGCGTGAGGCCCACGTGAGGACAGGCTTTAGCACGTCTTCCTCCCAAGCTCGTAGGTGCCTGGTCTCACACGGATTAATCTCAAGAGTTTGCATTTGTCCAGTGTGACCCGTAGGTGTGCGTTCCCATAGTTATGCCACCTCCGTGTTTTTCCCTGCAGATACCTGCACTTACTGGACGGGAAGGAGACTTACCCCTGCCTCGTGGATGCGGATGGCGACGTGATTTCTTTCCCACCGATAACCAATGGCGAGAAGACGAAGGTAGGGCACGGCCCATGCGCGTTCGTGTGTCTGGGGCTGCTCCACCGTGATGGCCCGTCCCCACGCCAGACCGTGCAGGCCCCATGCCGTGCTGCCCACAGAGGCCCCCGGTCTCCAGAGCTCGTGTCCCTCTCAGCGCGGTGCTGCACCAGGCGTCACCGTGTGTGCGTTCCCGCCTCTGCCTCTGTTTGGAAAGGGGACGGTCCCAGTTTGCTTGGCACCATTTTTTATAAGTTTTTCCTCAGAGCACTTTTTTAATGTCTCTGGTAACTTTATTCTTCCCTAAAACCCCTCTGATTTCTTTTTAAGATTAAGAAAACAACTTCTGATCTGTTTTTGGAAGTAACAAGTGCTGCGAGTCTGCAGACCTGTAAAGAGATCATGGACGCCCTCGTGCTGGTGAGTCCACGCTCTCACCCGGTTGGCACTCTGGCCACAGGGACGGACAGCACGCCCTCCGTCTTCCTGCCGTCCCTCGCTCGCACAACTGCCCTGGTTTTCTCTAAAAGGGTATTTTTCCTTTGCAGAAAATGGCAGAAATCAACAAGTACACGCTAGAAAATAAAGAGGACGGATCACTTTCAGATCCTGAAGCCGACGCAGCCTCTGCACAGCCTCCGGGTCCCAGCGGGAGCCCAGGTGCCACAAAGGCCGGGAGCGCCTCACTGGTGGTAGAGCAGGTCCGGGTGCTTGACGAGGACGGACACCTGAAGGTGGTGTACCCCTCTAAGACAGACCTGGGCCTTGCCGCTCCCCACATGACCGTGATCCGCTGAGCCCTGGCCGCCGCGTGCCCACCAGCTCCACCACGCGGTCCTCAGCTGCACCTGTTGTGCTGACGTTAAGTTATTCCTTACGTTCTCACCCCGGTGGTTTTTAAGATCCGCGCCTCTGTTCGGTTGTCTGGACGGTTCCGTCCTGTCGCAGTACGCCACATTGCCACGGACTTGAATCGTTTTGCCTTTCCAGCACCAAACTGTTTAACTAAAGCTTTTTACGAAATTACTCAAGTATCAGAATTAAGTGTTCGAAACATTCTGAGATCATGTGAACACAGCAAACACCTTTATTCAGGGGAAAAAAGACTCTGACAGGTTTGGACATTCAGGTCTACGCTGGGAAGCTAGACGACGTGCGCTTCAGTGAACTGCACCATTGTTTTTCTACAACACGGCAGCTTTTAAACCCGCACCGTGCCGGCGGCGCAGCCTCAAGATATGGAGTGACGTCCTGTCCCTGGCTTGCGCCAAGTCATCTTTTTATGAAAAATATTTTTTAGGTGACCTTAGAATTGGCAGAAGCATTTTTTTCTTCCTGTTGCGGTTGGACGCATTAGGGGTAGCACGACAGAGTCCCCTCGTGCGCCCCCGAGAGAGGAACAGACGTCAGAACGCACAGCTCCGGGCTCGCGCGCAGTTCCCTGTTGCGGAGTTGGCTTCCGCGGACCGGCCGGCACGTTCTGTTGTCAGCCCGCTCAAGGACAGACACGCGGATGGCCACGGAAGGGGAACTTTGAAGCCATCAACCAGAGCGCGGCCAGGTGTGAACGGTTCTTGAGCATTTTGTGTTTTAGGTTATTTCCAGTTTTGAGTGTCTTGGGCCCTAGACCGTGAGTTTGCATTTGTTTCTGTGTGCAGGTACCCCTCCCTGGCCACGGGGTAGGTGGCGTTTACTGACCTCCCTGCTTCATGGTCTGGCCGGGTTACGAGACGCTTAACTGGCTTTTGGTATTTAGTGACCCCGTCGGTGTCACGTTCTGTGACCTGCAAGAGACAGTTTGTGTGTTCTGCTGACTTGGGGAGCGTTTGCAAGAGGCTCAGTGAACCCAGTGAACCCATGCATTTAGCCATCAAAACCAGACATGGGGTCGGGGGGCAGCTCACGAAGGCACGTGGTTCTCCCAGAGCTTGGCCAGCCTGCTTTGTAGGACCCGGCACGGCTCTCTGGGCACCTCCTGGCCTTCCCTTCGGTCCCTGGGCTGAAGGAGGTGGGCCAGATGGTGGCTTTCCTTCGTTTTGTTAGCCCCAAACCTACCAAGCGTCCGGGCTGGAGGCTCTGGCTTGTCATCTTATGAGCCCTGGGCACTCAGGGTGGCGACTGCTGTGGGTGGCCTGGCTGGCGTGGGTCTGTGGCCGGGGGGGAGGGGGCACGTCCTGTCAGCTGTGGCCTCACTGCCGGCCCATTGCCTTTCTGACGCAGCTCAACCCCATGTGAGGTGTGCAGATGTGTTTGACTTACCACCAGAAACCAGACGTCTTTCCTCTTTGCCGGTCCAGCCTGCTAATAAATGTCATTTAATAGCTGGGTTTCTCTCCAGTGAATCCTTTCTTGGCAGTATTTCGCGGTAGTGACTTTGGGGAAACAGAGGACCTGAAACCCCCCTTCCCAGCCCAGATCTTGCCAGCAAAACACAAGAGGGGCTTGATCACAGGCTCTGCCCAGGGAGGCTGCTGGGCCCTCCAGGCCTGGAGCGGGAGGGGGACCCCCTCCCAGGGCACCTGCCCCCCGGCAGGTCTCACTCCTGGGTCTTACATGGCAGGGGAGACTGCCTGACAACTCAGCAGGGTGCTGTCACCTGTCCCTGGCCAGGGCCTGGGGGGGGCCACATCTGGTGGAGGCAGCTCACAAGGAGGTGGTACGTGGCCCAAGGGCCTCTGCCTGCAGTCTCCCCACACAGAGGCCTGGCCGCTGGTACAGCCCACAGAAGGAGACACGCACGTCCACCAGGGAGTGGGCTGGCGCACCCTGCTCTTCATCCTGAGACGTGCTGGGCCTCGGGGCGCACAGAGCATGAAGGCCAGATCCAGATGGCTTTTGTCATCTGTTGTTACCCATGGGGTTCCCCCCAACCCAGGGAGGTGTTTGTGAGGACCCGCGGGGATCACTGGGCAGTGCTGGGCTGAGCTGGGGAGGCTCTGAGGACACCGCCCCCAGACTGGTTCCCCATAGTGCCCCTCGTGCATGGACCACACCTGCTTGCTGCCCCACCTGCTCTGTCCTCCCTCCTCACCGTGCTCCAGCCTTGCCCCCCAGCCCCTCCCGTCTCACTGGTCCAACAGCCGACTCGGTGCATCCTGCCCAGGGGCTGCTCAGACAGTGGGACCCCGAAGCCCACAAGGCGTTTTTTGGAAGTCGGGAGACCAGAATGGCCTCAGGGAGGACTGGTGGGTGGGCAGCCGCCAGAGGCCCTCCTCTTTTCCGTCCAGCACCCTGGCCTGGCTCTTGGCAGAGGCTGCACCGAGTCTTGGGGAGACCCAGCCCCTGCACCTCAGGAGCTACCAACGTCCTAGAGCCCATGCAACCCAGCTGTGCCCCCCCACCAGTGCCCACCCTGTGGTGGCTCCAGCAGGGGCACCAGGGTAAGGCTGGCCAGATGCGGGTCGGCTGGCACGCCTCCCTCAAGTGTGGCTGAACAGGGCTGGGAGCGGGGTCTTCTTGGAGACAGGTGCTGAGGCCCAGAGACTAGGGCTGGCTGGACCAGACCTCTGCCCCTTAACCAGCTTCCCTTGTCCCCACCCCACAGCAGACCCCCATCACTACTTGGAGACCCCAGCGCAGGCCAGGCCCACCAGGCACCACGCCCTCCTTGCGGGCAGAGCCAGGGACCCCCTGGGTGGTGCAGCCGTCCCTAACAGGCAAGCCAGTCTCATGGGGTCTCTGCCCTTCCCTGCCAGCTTGGCCTCTGACATGCAGGTTTGCCATGTGCCCTCCAGTCTCGGGCTCCACGAGGACACTGACTGTCCCTCATCTCCCGCCCTCAGTCCTCCGGGAAGAAGCATCTGCTAAGGTGTTTCTGGCAAGGGTCTATGGGGCCTGAGCCGTGAGCCTGTAGTCAGTAGGTGGGGGTGAACACAGGGCCCCGGAGGGCACTTACTGGGAACAAGGCAGGGGGGGACCGGACTGAACCTCTGAGCCGAGAGGCCTTGTCCGCGGCCGGTCAGGTGAGGCAGGAACAGGCCCCGCCAGCGGCCAGTCCTCGGGCCTGCCCCCAGGGGCTCACGGCCCACAGACGGCCCAGCCAGGCAAAGACACATTCCAAGGCCCAGAGCCAAGTGGGAGGGAGAACAGGCCCTTCCCACAAGCCTCCCACACTGTTGTCCAAGTGCCCTCCAGCTGGCCTCACACCGGGCAGGCACCTAGGCTCCTGCAAGAGGCCCTCACCCATCCTTCATTCAACAGACTTTAATGGCTGCACTGGCACCCAGGCTCCCACAGGGCAGGGTGGGGGAAGCGCCTTCCCACTGGATCTGCTCCCTCGGGGGGAACGGCCAGTTCACTGCAGGGAAGACTGGGTGGTGGGTCCCAGACAAGGGCTGAGGCCCCACTCCCCACCCTGGGGGGGTGGCAGAGGGACGGACACACACGGCCCCTTCAGAGCCATCCATGCAAAGCAGGAGTCAGAGGGCCCAGAGAGGGCAGGGGCCTATTCAGGGCCCCACAGCCCCACAAGTTCCCCTCAGGGAGGACCCCTCCCTGGGGCTGCCAGGCCTGGGCCCTCTGCAGGGGCTCTGGAGGCGTGTCCTGCAGTCCCAGCTCAAGCTGGCCCTAGTCTCCTGGCCATTAGTGTCTTGGGCTGGCCGCCTGCGCCAGGCACAGGCACCTGTGTCCCTGTTCGCCTGTGTGCCCATGTGCTGGCCAGTGACCTCGGCACCCTGGGGTCTGTGTGTCGGGGGTGGGGGCGTGCATCTGCGCAGAGCGAAAAGCCTTCTGTACACGAGGATCATGTATATGGGGTTCAGTGTACACAAAGGGGGTTCTGGTGTACAGGGTGTCCACCCGAGCCCATGTCCCCACGCACGGCGGCCAGCCCCGAGTGGGTGTGCTGGGCAGCCTTATTTGCACTTGTGTACGTAGTAACCAGTGAGATAGCCGAGGATGAAGACAGCCCAGAAGAGGGCCACTCCGCCCAGCACCTTCATGGCGATGCCCAGCCTGCCCGAGCACAGCTTCCGGGAGATCCTAGGGAGAGAAGCGCCCCCACATGAGCCCCTGAGTCGACTGGGGGGCTAGGCTGGAAGGGAGCGGGCCCTGGGGCAGGTGGACCCCAAAGGAGGATGGTCTGTATGGTCTGCTGACTCGGGAGACAGGAGGGAGCCCAGCGAGGGAAGCCGCACGCGGAGGTGCAGGGCCCCGGGTGGCTGGGACTGCTGGGGCTGGGGTGGGGGGGCCTGCAGCATGGAAGCCGCCAGGAGGGACGAGGAGGTGGAGGGCTCCTCCTGCGGGCCCTCACCTCTCCCAGCTCCAGGCCTCCTCTGTGCTGGACCCAGCCACCACGTGGACTTCGTCCCGGCTGCGGTCCTCCCACCTGCTGTACTGGACGCCGCTCTCCTGGGGCTGCATGCTGCGGGGGCTACGGCAAGACGGGCAGAAGGTGGGCTGAGGCGCTCACGGGCGGGGAGACCGAGGCAGGCGTGCGGGGCCCTGACTCCCTGTAAAGCATGGTCCCAGTGATGGCAGTGGCTGGGGCTCCGTGTGGAGCTGCGTTTAAGGCCACGGTCCGCCTGGGGGTAGGGGCAGGGGTGGGGGGACACGACGGTGGGCTGGCTCCTTCCCCCGAATCTTCTCCCCTGGCTTACCAGGGGACCAGGATGCCGAGTGGTCCAGCCACTTGCCCAGGGTCACATGGGAGGAGGCCAAGCAGGAATTCTAACCCAGGGAGGCTGCAAACCCTTCCCTCAGGAATGTGAGAGGCTGCCTCCACCCAGCCCCGTCCCGGGGCCGGGGGGGGGGGGGCCCTCTGGCAGAGCCGAGGCCACCCTGGAGGACAGCACAGGATACCGTGGGTCCTTGACCTGATAATTGCCTTCCTTCCCTCCCCATTCCTGACAGATAAGGCCCCAGAGCGTCTCCGGAGGCTGGGAAGGCAGGGGATGGGGCGGCGGCTGGTACGGCCTGTCTGGCAGGTCGGGAGAGTCCTGGAGCGCCAGAGCAGCACCCCAGCGTGTCCAGTGTCCTCTGGCCTGTCCGACTCACAGCCCCTCGCCCCCGACACTGCCTGTGGGAGAAGCCGGAGCCTGGGGGGCACCTGGGCCTGCTGGGAGTCCAGGGGCTGGAGAGGCAGGGGTCTCTCTTCTAGGGATCCCCTCCCACAGAATCCTGGAGACAGGCTTAAAGGCACAGTGGGCCACTGAACGGCAAGAGGCCAACCCAGAAACTCCTGCGACCTGGAAGTTCTTAAACTCCTGACATGCCTCTGTGTCGTCCCTTTCCCCAACCCCAGCCCAGTGGGGAGGAAGGAAGGGAGCTTGTCTCCGAGCCCCAAGGCCTGCCTGTCAGGTGGGAGCACCTGCTTTGCCACAACCACTCAGATCAGGGGCCGTTCTCAGGCCCAAGGGATGCCAAGTGTCTGCAGAGTGTGGGCTGTGCCTTCCCAGGTGTGCCCAGGAAAGGGGCTCTGGACCGACTCTGCTAGCTGTCTACCTAACGTCCACCCCCTGTCCACCCTGGAGCAGAGTCCCATTCTGTGCCAGGCAGCAATGTGCCACCCCAAATGACAGCCAGGGGATAAGACAAGCTTAATACCCTGGCCCCTGGCCCCCCAGGTCAGCCGGATGAGGGCAAAGTGCTGGGGTGTAGCAGAGCTGGGGGGGTTCTTGCTTTCACCACGGAAATAGCAGCCACTTCTTTCTTCCTGCCCAGGCGTGATGGCCGGAGCTGCAGCAGCCACCTTGCAGCCCAGAAACCCATCCAACACCAGCCCTCATCCTGTGGACTCTCCAAATCCACACCAATTACCCACCCTTGGGCTTCTTGGTGAGAAGAGTCAACCCCCAGCTGTTCAAGCCTGGGTTCCTGTCGTGGGCAGCAGAAAGCATTTCTAACTGATGGAGACTAGACTGGCTCTCAAGTCATCTCAGTTGGACAAAGCCACTAGAAGTTGGTGAGGTGCCTAGAGCTGGGATCCTGCAGGCCTCAATCTCCAACCCCCACCGGAGGGTCACGCCTTGTACCTGGAGACACCCGCCAAGCTGGGGACCCTCTGGGCATACCACCGCATACCTTAGACCCTTCCGCCCCCAAAGCACCTCGGAGGAGCCCACAACTTACAAAGGGAGAGTCCTGGCGTGGGGCCCGGACTCCGGCGCCCAGAAAGGTGGTCAGGTGGTCTCTGCCCGGCCAGTGGATCTCGCCCGCCTCCTCCCAGGCCGCAGGTCAAGGTCCGAGGTGCGGCCAATGCCTGCAACCTCAAAAAAAAAAAAAAAAACAGAAAATAAAGAAAAGGTGAAGAAGAGCGGCCCTTCGAGGAGCGGGAAGGGGGAGGGAGCGCTGGGGTGTCCAGCGACAGCAGGAGCCGGGCGGACATTTCCCTCCCGCACGTGGCCGCCCGGCCTGGGGTCGCTCGGCCGGATCAGCGCTCCCCCCGCCGCCCACCCCGCAGCTCCGGGACTCCCGGGCTGCCCCTCGCAGGGCAGGGAGGCCGCGGCCAGGCCCACCTCCTCCGTCCGCCGGCACGAGGAAGCTGCCCCCCGACGCGCGTCCCACCAGCGCCTCCGCCTCCTGCCCTCCGCGCCGCGCAGACGTGTCCCGGCCGGGAGGGGCGGGGCCTCGGGGGGGCGGGGCGGCCTGGGGGCGGGGCAGGGGGCGAAGCCCGCACGGGGGCGCCGACCCCAGGCCCCGGGTGTTCCGGACGCGGCCGCCGGAGGGCGTGCGTGCTGCAGGGAAAAAGGCTTTAGGGGCCGCCGGGGAGAGAGGGGGCTGCCGGAGAGAGGGGGCAACATGGGAGAGGGGGCCGCAGGGTCACGGGGTCGGTAGAGGAGAGGGGGGCCCCCTAGGCTAGGGTCTGCAGGGGAGAGGGCCTGCCCGGGCGACAGGGCCCTCAGGGGTCCGGGGGGTGGGGCGCGCGGGTCCACCCCCAGGCCGTGCAGGTGCGGGACTCTGGTGCAGAAGCGGGCCCTGGAGCCTCCGGGCGCTCCTGAGTCTGATCCGACAGGCGAGGCGGCCCAGCCGGGGCGCCCCCGCCGGGGCGCCCCCCGGGGAGCCTGCGCGGAGTTCCCAGCTCCGTTCCTCGGGTTCCCGCACTGGGCCCGCCGCGAGCGCGAAGCAGGAAAGGCCGGGTGCGCGCACAGGTGGGTGGGGGAGGAGGACGAGAGCAGACGCCGCGGGCGGGTGCCTGCATGCAGCGCGTCGCTGTGCCCAAAGCCTGCGGGGTGCGGGACGCAGACAGGGTGAACTGCGCAGATCAGAGTGCCTGGCCTCCTGGAGCTTCCACTCCCGCAGCACTGATGGGAACAGGAGTAGAAGATCGCCTGCACTGTCTCCCAGAGGGGTCGCAGCCGCAAAGTGGTGCCCCAGCCAGGGGCGCTCCCACCGCACAGGTTTGTGCCGCAGGTGCTGGGAAGGGGCGGATAGGCACCGGGTCTCAGGCCTCCTAAGCCTAGGGCCTCAGGGGTGGGCCCTTGCTCAGTGTGGGTGTCTCCCCAGGAAGGAGCCAGGGGGGCAGATGGGGGCTGTGGTGGTCGCGCAAGCCCCCACGAGTCCCGGGAGAAGGAAAAGCTGAGTCCGTGGCCAATGGCAGAGTTTAATTCTAAAGCGAAAAGGCCGGGCTACACAGGGCTGGCTCCCTGAGCTGGGTGCCGGCCTCCGCTGGGCTGGCTGGCGTCTGGGGCCCTGGCTGGGTCTACTTGGAGGTTATCTTCTTGGACTTGTTCGGGGAGGACAAGGCCTCTGTCTGCTGCAGGGGAGGCACTCTGGCGCCTTTCTGTTTGAGCTGATTGTAGTAGTCGTCTCTCTCAGAGATGATACTCTGCAACAGAAGCCCGGGCCCTCGGTGGTGGGGACCGCGCCTCTCCTCCCCGAGCGGGGGGCCGGGGCGCAGCAGTGGTGTGCGCTGACCTGACCACCGGCTCTCCAGCGGAGAAAGCTCTGGTCTGTAGCATCTGCTAACTTCTGGGCTGGAAACACTCCCCACCTCTGCTGATCCCGCCCCTGCCATGAAGCCACAGAACTCAGCCCACCACGGGCTGGCGTCACCTCTCCCCTGAAGCAGCACTAACTGCACTTATGTCCTCTGAGGATGTCGAGCGGCCCAGACCAAGAGACCTCAGAGGCCATCGAGTCTGTCCCTCAAGTCCCTTCTGTCCTGCGCACAGGGAGATGGCCAGCCCCTCCCTCACCTCTGCAGCTTTGGCGCATCACTGTTTTGCATGCAGCAGAGGAAAGGGCTTCTTTCCTGGCTACTGGGGGGTACTGATGACTCCTCCCATCCCTCTCTCCTTCCCTCCCTCCTCCCTCTCCCCCCACACCAAACAACAGGAGCCAGGCTGCAGAGACCTCTCCCCAGGTCCTCTTGCAGGTCTTCCCGCTCCCCAGACTGTTGCCACCCTACAGGGGCACTGCTGACCAGGGCCCCACCCCACGACATAGGAGAAAGGAAATCAGGTCTCGGGGAAATGTGGGTGCTGGAAGGTCATAGGCACCTGCTGGGGCAAAGGGCCTTGTCATGGGAGGCTTGGGGCGTAGGGACAGAAGCGGCCCCTAGTGAGAGTCCATATGGCCCTGCACAGAGCACGTGACAGTCAGGGCTCTTCTCCCAGAGCCCTCCCCCCACCATGCCCAGAAGGCACACAGGCTCTCTCCCAGGTGCAGAGGGAGGCTCTACTGCTCAGTGAACTCAAGAGCCAGCCCACAGCTTGTCAGCCAAGGCCCACGGGGGTGGTGGCTTGCCCCTGCCAGCCCCAAAGCCTGCACTATTTCTCCTGCACCACCCTGCCCCGTGAGGCCTCTGCTTGGGGTCATTAGGATGACAGCCTGAACCAAGGCCAGGGAAGGGGGGCCACGCCGGGGTCCTGGCTGAGCAGACGAGGATTCCAGCTGAGGCCATGCTGAGGTGCCAAGAAGCATCCCCAAAGAGGCTGAACTGGACAGAACCTGGCGGGGCGGAGGGCGGGGCGGGGCATGCTCCTGCTGCTGGAGAATCTCCAGGACCCCAGCAGCTTGGTCCCCTCCCCACTGCACCCCGGAGCTGAACGCTGAGAGCAGCCTAGCCATGGGGAGATCTGGTCCCCTCTGCCTGAGCAGAGAGCAAGGATGATCCCAGGGGCACAGTGAATGGTGACACAACCAGGATGAGAATGGGGGTCCCCTCAGCCCCCTGCCGCAGATCAGCAAGCGTCACCCTAGAGACGCAGCCTCGGGGACCAGGAAGCAGCCCAGCGCTGGATATACCTGCAAAGCTTCCAGAATGTCATTGTCAGAGATCTCAGTGGCAAAGGACTTGACCCCGAAGGTGCTGAAGGTGGCCTGGATGATCTTGTTTCTCAGTCTCTCAAGCTGTGAGCAAAGAGAAGGAGGGGGCAAATCACGCCCAACCCTGAGTGAAGCCTTCCAGAAGGTAGATTTGTCCTCACTTTTCGAAGCTTTAGGAACTGGAAGTGTCTGGAGAGGCCAGCTGGTCTGCCTGTGTGCTAGAAGGTGCCAGATCAAAACTCAGACCCAGAGCGGCTGGGCACCCAGGCTTTAAGACTTTCTAATACTTTTTTTTTTTTTAATTGAAAAAGTAAAACCTGCACATGGCTTAAAAAAGAAAAAACAGTACAAGGTCTCCAAAGCATCCCCCAGGCCATCGTCCACAAGGGAGCTGGCACTCCCTGCCCCCAGGCGAGACTCGGGGATGCCCCTGGGAACACCCTGCAGGCTGATCAGCCCCTCACTGTTAGCACTGCAGGGAACACCTATTGTACTCCCAGCCCTCCCTCCTCTTCTTGGGATGGTGAGGCAGTCCTCGCTGGTTCGCGTTAACCAGCCATGAATGGGGCGGTAACCAGGAGTTAACTAGGACGGAGCTAAGGCTGTCTATAGTCTTGCTGCCATCACCATCATTGTGCTGATATGCATTGTTCATCTCCTCCACTCTGAACCCTAGAAGCACTCAGACGGGCCCCCCAAGTTATGGTGGCAGCTCAGCACCCGCTCCTCACCCTCAATGAGCAGAAGCCCTGATGATGCAGCAACGGCCGGCCCGTGAGAGCCGGCCTCAAGAGAGTTTGCATTGCCTCAAAAGGGCTGCAGGCCGGTCCACTTTGCCCATGGGACAGCGTTGAAGTGACAGAGGGCATGTTAGGATCCCCTGGACCTTGGGTGGGGAGGGGGTTTCCTTTCTTTCCAATGTGGATTGGTGCCAGCTCTGCGCCCCATACCGTACTGGGTGTAGGGGTTACCGAGGGAAGGGGGGCCCGCCCCCTGTACTGGAGGTGACTGCTGCTGGGCAAGGGGTGGCAGTCACCTGGAGTGTCCGGCCACAGTGCCACACGCCCGGGCTGCTTCAGGCGTCACTCACGGGTCACGCACCACTTCCAGAGGACCCCAGACCTGCCCCCACAAACTTTCTCAACACAGCATTCCAGGCGCTACCAAACTGAGGCGAGAACCAGACCCATGATGCACCATCCCCCGCTCACACTCTAGCTGGGAGGACTGCTGGATCCCAAACACAGTTTTAGGAGAGACAGCGGGTGGCGGGCGCTCATTGATGCTGCCGAGCCATTCAGCGGGAGACTGGCTCCTCCGGGCGGGAAGAACACACCCCGTTACAGCAGGCACTCTGGGGAGGCGGGGGAAGGTGTTCTTTCAAAAGCCTACACGCACAGGACTTTCTCTTTGCTGGTTTTTGGATTCTGGTCGGCTCCTCGCTGATTTCCTTTTTGGCCTGGGTCCGTCAGCAGAGGGCACCTCGGCCTCCCTCTGTGCCTTTGCTCACGTGTAGCATGGGGGCTCAGATATGGGGTCGGGCTCTTCACATCCCAGCACCACCCCCCACGCAGCTCTGGGGGCGCCAGAGGGTTATTTCGCCCCTCCGGCTGCAGGCTCCTCCTGGGGGCAGTGAGGACGCTAAGAACACCTGCTTCCTAGCTTTGTTCACAAGGTTAGACTTCACTGAGCTGCTTAGAACGGTGCCCGACCCCGGCACGCACCCCGAAAACTATAAATAGATGGCGTACCCCTGGCCCCGGAGCGCTCCTTCCTGGCCGGCTATCCAAACCCTCGCGCCCCTCCACAGCACAAGCCAGACACGGCCCGCCCCGCCCAAAATGTGCAAGCCCCATCACACCTATGGTCTCTCCGCCACCATTTCTGGAGAGCCAACTCTGTGCCGGGGGCGGGGCTACGCGGGGGAGTGAGCCTAAGCCCCCGCCCCCTCGGCGCACGGCCCGCTTCCCTCGGCGCACGGCCCGCCTCCTTCGTCGCACGGCCCGCCCCCTCGGCGCACGGCCCGCCCCCTCAGCGCACGGCCCGCCTCCCTCGGCGGTGGGCGGGCTCGGGCGCTCCGCCCGCGGGCCCTACCCGGGACTGGGCGCTCTCCAGGGCCACGCGGGCCTGCTGCTCCGCCTGCTGGATCATTTCGTTCTTGCTCAGCATCTCCTCCTGCAGCGACTTCCATCTCTGCAGGTGGTTCTGGTTCTGGCTCACCTGGGCCTGCAGCTTGCTGACCGTGGCGTCGAACTCCGAGATGATGTGCTCCTGCTTTTCGAGTTTGCTCTGCAGCTCCAACACTTGCTGCAGGGGAGCCAGGGAGGACAGGGGAGTAGGCCCACCTGGCCCAAACGGGTCACCCGTGTTCCCCGCCCGTCCTTCCCCCAAAAGACCGCCGGCCCTCATGGAGCCAGCAATGGCAAGGACCTTCTGCATGCGCTCGCGCTCCTGCGATTCGCTCACCGGGGTGCTGCCTAAGGTAGGGGGGGCCCGACTCACTGCGAAGGTGTTTCCAGCTCATCTTGCCCGCGCTGTCAGGACTTACAACAAGAACAGCGGTCTGGCTGTTTAACCACACCTGGCGGTCACCTGGCGGAGAAGAATGTTGTCCTTCTCGATGATGCCCATCATCTCTTCGTGCTTCTTGTCTTCCCTGAGGTTGGAGAACTGGAAGGCAGACGGGGGGGGGTGTTGGCTCAGGGGGACTCGGGGGCAAGACGACAGATGGAACACTTGCATCCAGCTTTTCTCCCTGAGCCTCAGTACGATGAAAGCAGCGGGACTTCTGCCAAGGACAAGAGGGGCAAACACATGGGGAGCTGGAGAGCAGGGCCCAGAAGGCCAGATCCTAAACCAGCAGGGTTGGAGAGTTGAAAACAAGCCCAGCTCACTCTTCTGGTCCTCAGATCTCAGAAATTGGTGGTACAGGTTCTTCTGGATCTGGAACCTAACGTGGGGAGGATCAGTGGATACTTTTCCAGAAACTAAGAGCTGCAGACCCGTCCCTGCCCTCAAGCAACTGGGAGCCTGTGCTGTGTTCACCTGGTGAGAGGCTGGATGTCAGGGGCATAGCAGAGGGTCTCTGGCTAAGGAGGTGCCAGGCGCAGTGGAGGGTGGACCCCCCAGGCTCCAGATGGGGGATGTGGGGGCCAAATGTGGATGCCCCCGCTGTCTTCCCATCTTGGCTCTTAGAACACCAGCAGCTAGGCCTTCTCATTCCAGGCAAGAAACTTCCAGGTTCCCCGAAGAACTAACAAGACAACCTTCAAACGCTCGGCTGAAGTGCCCACACGTGCCCGTGCGTGTGAAGCACAAACTTACTGCCACGTGCTCAGAGACCCCACTCAGCTCTGGCACAAGTGAGGCTCTCTCATGAATGACAGACACCAAGACAAAGGGACCCAGGGCACTTGCGGGAGATCAAAAAGATTCAGGAAGTTGAGCCTAGCGATCATGAGTGTTCCGTGGGGGATAGACAAGACACTGAATCGTGAAACAAAAGAAGAAAAAAGGACATTGGGAGAACAAGAGAGATCTCGGAAGCCATCCGTGCAACAAAGAAGAGCACAGGAGGCGGCTGTGGATAAAGTGCCGGGAACATGGGCCGTAGAGCAAACAACCCAGAGATGGGGAGCAGGAGGGAGGGGGTTCCGGGGACACCAGGAGGAGTGTTCAAGAAACAAGACGGAGAGAAGAAAAAACAAGATAACATAATCTTCCAGAGCCGAGTTTCAGGACACCTGGCACAGAGAGCCCAGTGGTTTTCCGGAGACGCAGCAGCGCACCCAGACCATGGTCCCAGGCAAGCGAGAATTGGGAGTCCCCAGGACTCCCCCCCCCCACAGCAGCCTTGGTCGCTCGGGCCCGTGGGGCAGTGCCTTCACTGTGGGCGCAGAGTGCTCTCCCGGCTGTGGTTTGGCATCCCACCAAATTCTATTGACGTATAGAATAAGGACATTAGCAGAATATGGTGCCCCCATGAATTTACACCCACTCAATTTTATCGGAAGACTACTGCAGGATGTGCTCCAGTGAAAACGCGGGAGTAGATCAGAAAAGGAGGAAACTTCATCCTGTTTGGCAAAACCTGTGTTTGAGTCCCAGGTGGGCATGAGCTGCTGGCAGTCATACCCCGAGCATCCCATCATGGTGGGACGGCACCGGTGGGAGGCCGACCTGCCTGTGCTGGGGGCCCCAGGCAGGGCAGGAAAGAGGGAAGCGCTAGATAATGCTAGGATGGAGGAAATTCCAGAATGGGTGTTAGAAGCATACCATTTGTAGGCCTGCAAAGTGATTCCTAAAGAAGAATTGAGGGCAGTCGCCCTGGGGGATGGGCACACAAGACGGAAGAGGTCGGGATCCGCCCCTGCTGTGTGACAAGCCTGCGGGACTATTTCATTCCTTAGGTTGTGTGCGTGAATAACTTCGATAAAACAAAACACGTAGCAAGGGCTGGGCTTGGCGGAATGGTGGCCTCTCTAAGTGTGCATGCGCTCGACCCTGGGACTCGAGCACGCGGGGATGCTGGGGAAGGGACCCGGAGCCAAGCAGCCCAGGGAGGACGGTGCGGGCCGGGGGGCGTGGCGTGGCCCAGGACAGGCTGCCCCAGCTCGGGACGGCGGGGACGGGCGGGGCTGCTGGTGCCCGCTGCGTGACGGGCACGGCCACCTTGTTGGACATGGCTTGTAACTGGTCCTTCCGCTCCCGGAGCTCCTTCTGCAGGGTCTCGTTCTTCGTGTTCAACATGTGCAGTTGGGATTCCTGGAAATCCACTTGGCGTTGTAAAGACACGGCGGCCCCTGTGTGAGCCGTACGTGGGAAGGAGGCAAGAGAGGGCAGGGGCTAGGAGGCCGAGCCAGGGGGGCTCTGGCCCCAGGCTGAGGGCTGCCACCTCTTGCCCTGCGTCCCTCGTCCCCTGGGCCGCCCTCTATCCTGTGGCTCCTGGGCCCCTAGCGCCCCACCTGTTGCGAGCGAGTATCTGGTCCTGGTGACCTCCAGCTCTGTCTGCAACTCCTGGATCACGAGCTCGTACTCCTCCAGCTGCGCTATCAGCTCCCGCTCAAAAGCCTGCTCCAGGGAGCGAGAGCTCCCCCTGCGCTGGTCCTCCTCCTCCTGCGCCTCCTCCTCCTCCTCCAGCTCCATCACCTCCTCCTTCTCCTCCTCCAGTTGCTCCTGCTCCTCACCCCCCTCCTTGGGTGCGGCCCCCTTCCTGCCTGCTGGGCCCTTCCCTTCGCCGTCTGCCCTCTCCTCTGCCTCTGCGTCTGCAGCCTCTTCTTCCTCGCCGCCAGCTGCTTCCAGGTCCTTGCCTCTGCCGGTCACGGCAGACTCCTCCTGAAGCTGGGAGAGGGAGGGGGTGCTGGGCAGGCAAGCAGGGGGCAGGGAGCACTCCACCGGCCACTGCGCCAGCGCCCCACTGCACCGTCTCGGGAGACCGCCACTGCCCGGCTCCCCCCTGCACCTGTGCAGGGCGGACAGGGGAGCTGGAGTCCCTTTTCCAGGAGCTGCTCTGCCCCCCTGCACCTGTTCCCCTCAGGTGTGGCTGAGGGCCCACGACGCGGAGCTGCAGGGAGGACACCGGCATTGCCAGGCAGGCCCGGAGATGTAGCCTGGGCCAAGCCTGCCTGCTCAGGATCCCGGCGGCCCGCACCTGCCTCCAGTGCTGCAGCTCCTCGTCTGGGAGGAAGGTCTTCAGGATGCTCAGCCTCCCGCTGGGCTTTGGCACCGGCTCCTGCAAGATGGCCACATGAGCCTCAGCGTTCCAAACTGCCCCCCTCAGCTCCCCTGGCTGATGTCCTGAGACCCGTCCTTCTGGAAGGGGACAGCACCCTCTCCATGTTGCAGGGGAGAGGGGGATCAAGTGTCTTCCTGCCAAGGGTGCTGTGTTGGTGAGAAGGGGGGCAGTGACCAGCAGATGAGCATTCCTGGGGGACGGTGATGGCAGATGAGCAGCCCTGGGGGTGATGGTGACCTGCAGATGGGCAGTCCTGGAGGGAGGGTGACCTGCAGATGGGCAGTCCTGGGGGGGGAGGTGACCTGCTGATGGGCAGCCCTGGGGGGGACGGTGATGGCAGATGAGCAGCCCTGGGGGGACGGTGACCTGCAGATGAACAGTCCTGGGGGGAGGGTGACCTGCAGATGGACAGCCCTGAGGGGAGGGTGACCGGCCCATGGGCAGCCCTGGGGGGAGGGTGACCAGCACATGGGCAGCCCTGGGGGGATGGTGATGGCAGATGAGCAGCCCTTGGGGTGATGGTGACCTCCAGATGGGCAGTCCTGGGGGGAAGGTGACCTGCAGATGGGCAGCCCTGGGAACAGTGTGATTTCTGGCTCCCTTGGACCCGCCCCAGGGAGTGGCCTTGCAGCAGTGGGCACCCCCACTTTGTTCCAAGAGTGGAAGGCCAGCCTGCCATGCCCACGTTGCATGTCCCTGTAGGCCCAGTGTGGGCTCACGCCTCTCTAACAGCCCCCGGGAGGCCAGGGAACAGGGAAGGCAAGCCGATGCTCCCAGGCCTCTTCAGACTCCTGCTGCCCCTGCCTGCTGGTACCACACCATCCGTGTCCAGGCAGCTTTCTCTGGTGGCATCTCGGGGATTTGGTGATGGTCTAAGGCCCCCACCCCACCTCACATGTGCCCCTAGCATAATGCCAGGCTGTATCCTCAGGTATGAAAGAAATCAGGTTTTAGAAAGACCAGGTGACTTCCCCACGAGGACCTGCCTAGTTCAGTCCTCTGCCCAGACCTCCCTGCTTTATAGGCAAGGACACTGAGCATCCTGCAGCCAGAACAGATCAGGCGAATCTGGGCCACCACTCCCACAGGGCCCATGGCTAAGCCAGGTCTGGAGACCTCACTTGCAAGGGGCCTTCCGTCCTATGGGATTTCAGAGGGGCTGGCCCTCAGCTTACAGGTAAGGAAACTGAGTCCAGAGAGCGACACAACCTGTCCCAGGTGGGAAAGCAAGCTGGCAGCCAAACACAGGGGTCTGGATGTCCAGCTCACGGCTCTTCTACCCACGAGGCCGTGGCAGCCTTCCCGGATGACGGGGCATTTGCCAGAGGCCTGAGGGCCACCAGGAGCTTTGGACACTTTGGATGCAGAGCCTGCAGCCCAGGCCCTGCACTCACCCTCGTGCACTGGCATACCCATGTCTCCTGGCCCTTGTTTTTAAGGAGGCATTTCAGCAGTTTCTTCAAGGCCTCCCTCTCCTCCTGAAGGGCCAAGACCTCCTCATCTTCCTTCTGAGGTGGCACCTCCATCGCGGACAGCCGCTGCACTTCCTCCCGCAGCATGACCAGGCAGTGATCCTGGGCACAGAAGCATGGGCAGCCCCTGGGTGCCACGCAGGCTTCCCCCCCCCCCCGCCCCTGGACCCACCCTCTCTGGGCGCCTGCAGGAAGAGCAGACCTGGAAATCCCAGCCACTCCTGCCCAAGGGCGGGGACCAAGTCCTTGCCTGGGGAAACTCCTGGCAGCCTCCCTTTCAGGCCTGGTCCCGGCCAGCCCCCCAGTCGCAGTGGGGGATACTGTTCTTCTGCACGGCCCCACAGCGAGCCAGCAGCACCCTCTGAGAGCCACCCCCTGGGGCTTGCAGGGAGCCAGACCCTCTGCCCCTCCACCTTCCGTGCTCAAAATCTCAGTGCCCTCGATTCCTCAGCGGTGGAGACATGGTACCAACATGTTTGGATAGCTGGAAATGGAAGGACTTGCCATCGGTAGCTCTGAACCAGGAGCAGCGTAAAGGAAGGCCCTGGGCCCGCAGTGCACCCCGCACAGTCCGAGGAGGGAAAAGAAAGGAACTCGGAAGTCCTCCAAATGTTTGGGATTTAAGTGCCAGGTTCCTACGTGGCCCATGAACCAAAGAAGCAGAAGGCACACAGGAAGTTAGAAAATGTCTTAAACAGAGCAATAATGAACACTATCAAGATGTATTGAGACTTGTGGGGTGAAACTGAGCTGCGGAGAGGACAGATTCACAGCCCCCTGTGCATCGGCTAGGGCAAGCAAGGAAACCAGCACCTGAGCATCCATCAGAGGGATCCAGGAAAGAGCTGCGGGCTATGGTGGGAGGAACCGAGCAACCAGGATGGGAACTGGAGGACCCAGCTGGGAGCGGGGGCGGGGGAGGGGCAGGTGCGGCAGGACTGCGGGGGTCTCAGGGGTACGCGGAATTATTCACACGGCTAAGCTAAAATAACCTGGCAGAAATCACCCTTCTTCCCCCGGGTCGTGGTGATTCAGACCCATGCACCTGTCCCACACCAGACAGTGGTTGCCGGAAAGGGGATGCTCGTTTCCACTGGGGCCGCTGAGTGGACACCATGCTGCCATGTCACTGCAGGTGACTCTCTTGCCTCCAGTGCAGACTCGCTGCCTCTTCAGCTCAGACCAGGTGGAGATGAGAGAAAGGGAAGCCCAAGGACAGCTTCCAAGCTCCTGGAGGCAGCCAAGCGGGCAGCCCTTCTCCCGGCCGCTTCACACATGTGAGCTTTCCCCTTCCCACGGTTTGCAAAGAACATCCTTTCACATAGACCTGTATGGTCCTACCGCTTGATAAACTCAGGCTTTCCCCGACGTGAGATTGCTTTCCCCAAAGTGGTCACAGGATATCAACACTTCTAAAATCGTGACATCTCTCAGAAAATGCAGAGTGTCAGGAGTAAAGGTAAAATGAAGACTCGTGGAGCCACACTATCTGGGCTTTGCACACCCACCAGCTGCCCAACATTTTGTGGTGCTCATTTCCATGACTGTCATTAAAGCCTCACCAGCTTTAAAACACCACCACCAACAGAAGGTGATTCTAAGAAAAGAGAGAGAGAAGGCCCAAGTTAGCACTGTCAGGAATGGGAAAGAGGCTCCCTCTCCTGCAGAAATGGGGCGGGGGGCGCCTGGGTGGCTCAGTCGTTAAGCGTCTGCCTTCGGCTCAGGTCATGGTCCCAGGGTCCTGGGATCGAGCCCCGCATCGGGCTCCCTGCTCAGCGGAAAGCCTGCTTCTCCCTCTCCCACTCCCCCTGCTTGTGTTCCCTCCCTCGCTGTGTCTCTCTCTGTCAAAAAAAAAGAAAAAAAAAAAGAAAGAAAGAAATTAGAGGGTATTAAGAGACCATTATGCACAGGATCAGGCTAATAAATCTGAAAATTTACATGTAATGGACACATTCCTCGAAAAACATAGGTTATCCAAACTGAAACAAGAGGGAGAAGGAAGTCTGAGTATCTTTCAAGGACGTAAATTTATGATTTGGAAAACCTGCCCCATGAGGACTCTCCAGGCACACACGGCCTCAAAGATGAATTCTTTGCCAATCTCATGCAGACTCTTCCAGAGAATAAAATAGGAAAGAGAAAATGCCTCCCAATTTTTTGATTGTTCTGAGGCCAGAATTACTCTGACACCGAAAGTAAACAAGGGAATCACAGACAGGTAAACTGTGGGCCAGTCTCTGTCACAAACAAAGATGCAGAGCGTAACATCACAACGAGTCAACTTGTAGGTAGATCTTTGTATACAAGCTGATTATTACTGTTTTCAAGAATATATTCTCTTAAGTGGAAATAGTGGGTCAAAAGCTATGTGGATGGTTGACGTCATGATATGTGTGGTCAGCTGCATGCTGAGGGGGACGAGATCCATGCCAGCTCAACCCGCCACACACTGGGATGAAGATGCACAGGGGCCAGAAGGTCTGGAAAACAGGTGAGTCATGGGAGCCTAAGGAGGGTCCTGGGGGTCATTTTTGGCCGCGTCTGGGGACCTGCTTGGACAGCTAACCAGATACCCCAACAAGAGCCCTGGGGGGCTGGCCGGGCCCTCCTATCCTGCCGGACATGGAGCTGGGGCATTAGGGTCAGGCTCTCTGCCCAGGGCTCCGCATGCACGTGGCCGTACCTTCTCGTGGATGACTGAGATGTACCAGGGTAACCGCTTCTTCGGGTGGCTCTGTGCCAGGACCGGGCTGCTGGGGACCGGGCTTATGATCTGGGACCCACTCCTCTTCCGCAAGTAGTTGAATTCACAGGCACTCTTACTAAAGGGAAGGAGGCACCCTGTGGGGAAGCCGTGGGGCGTCAGACTCGGAGTGCTGAGCCGCCCTGGGGGCGTTCCACGGTAGTTTCCCCCTCGCAAGACGCCCCTGGGAAACCCTTCGCTGCCCAGCTGGGCTCCTCCATGCCTCCTAGTGCTGACCCCCATCGTCCATCCCACCCCACCTGCCCCTGCGTGGGTTGAAGAAATGGAGGGAGATCATCAAAGCAGCCCTTGGAGATCCCCAGAGCCTAGGGGTCAGGACACCAGGGGTCACAGTGATGGCCCAGACATTTGTGAGGGGTTTCCTCACATTCAGACAGAGGAGACCTTTGTGTGCAGAGATCATCTTTGGATAAACCAAAGTAAGTATATTCATGCGTGGGAACAGTGCATTCTACTCAAGGAGGGATGCATCCTGTGTAAGGGGCATAGGGTCGGGCAGGTGGTCCTGGGAAGGGAGTCCCATGGGGGCATAATCAGGGAGCCCTGGGGAGAGCAGGGGTCCCGGCAGGTTCAGGCAGAGGCCTCAGAGCTGGCCTGCTAAGGAGAGGACCCCAGGGGCATGCTCGTCCCAGTGGCGGCAGGCCCTGCCCTCACCGTCCACCTTTGTGTCGGAGCCCCGGTGGCTGCAGGACGGGTCCTGGGTCACCTTCCAGGAATCAAAGCCCGTGCACAACTCCTCGGGCACCTCGGCTGAGGTGGATGAGCCTGCAGAGTGTTAAAAATGCTAGCTGACGACAGCTAAGGCCATGTCTTCACAAGACCTCCTGGGCAGGGACGATGATTTCTTTTTAAACTTCAGGTAGGATTAAAGATGACTTTTGTCAGTGGTTGTATGGGATTGAACCCTGGGACTAAATCGAACCGTGATTCTGTCCTGCTGGCCATTTGTGTGCCCACATGGAACAGACCGGGTGCAACTTCATCTCTGCAAATTGATGCATCCCCTCCTCTGGAAGGACCCTGCATTCTCATCTGTAAAAATGGCTCAGCCTCAAAGTCTCCAAGAGGCCCCTCTACCCCAATGGGCAGACCCCGTTTCCCCTCGGCCGTCATGAATCATGTCAATGGCGGGTGCATGCAGGACACAGTGTGGTCTCTCAGCCCATCCCAGCCCTGCCCAGAATTCACGGACCTGGAGTGCTGGCTGCTCTCTGAGGTTCCAGCCCTGAGAAAGGGGAGCTTAGGGCCTGAACGGGTGAGGGCTCCTGCTTCTGACATGAACAAGGCCCCCATCGCTAGCCACAGGCTCTAAGCTTCCATTTCCCTGTCCCTAACCACAATGCCATGTGTGGGGACATGGAACCAGTGCAGGCCCAGGAACTGGGAAGTCTAGGGTGCTGTCTGGCCTGGCCACTGCCCCCCGGTGACTGCTGAGTGCCTGGCTCCTCTCTCAAAGCCTCCTGTTCTCCCGGATCAGAACAGTGTGCAGTCACACCTGACGGTGGTTGGTCTCCTTACCGGGATTGGTTCCTATCTTTGGCCTCATGACCTCTTTACTGCAGCTTCTAGAATTTTGAGCCTTCTCCCTCTCCCCTACCCCCAACTCTACTGAGTCTGGTGAATGAGACAAGAGAAAAGCAAGAAGGCTTTTCCTTCCCCCCTGCCCCCCCTGCAGCCAGGTCTTGCTGCGTGCTCCAGCTGGTGCTTCTGCATGCACAGTGAGTTCCCACCACTGGCCACCACTCTGGCTGACAAGCACCAGGAAGGTCACCCCACTCCTCCAGGGAGGGAGGTGGTTTCCATGTGGGGGCCTCCCCGTGGGCGGCTCTCACCGTAACAAGACATAGACGTGGCCTTGGTGCTGAACTGAGGGCAGCCAGGGCGCTTGAGAAACGCCTTTCTCAGCTCCTCTAGTTCGGCCATGAAGCTGGTGTCCTCGGGGCTGGGGGCTTGCTTGTATTCACCCTGGTGGAGTGGGGACAGCAACACACTGGGAGAAGAGCCCCTGGAAGCCACGTGCACCGACTGCAGCCATCTGCCCTCTTCCTGAGAACCACAGGCTTCAGGACAGGCACGTGTACCCACTGGAGAAACCACCGGCATCCACCTGGGGGGCCGCGGGTGGCTCTCTGGTCTCCTTGAGCCCATGGTAGATTCAGGAGCCTCACAGCTGTGCTATCCCTTCCTTGTCCTCTCTTCCCCCGACTTCACTCCTTTTTGAGACCGCCCCCCCCCCGCCCAGGAAGGCTCAGGGCAGCCGGCCATCTTCTCTCCCAGGCTTTCGGGTTGCCAATTCTTTACACTCCCAGAATTGGCCCATCTTCTTCTGTCACCAAAGCATATTTGGAAGGCTGCAGCGGGCGCCCAGGCCCTGAGGCCTCCCATCAAGGGGGAGAAGCAGGCCAGCCCTGAGTTAGCTGTGCCGTGGCCTGGCCGTTCCCCTCCGGGACCCCACACCTTCTTCCCGTAGAAGCAGCTGATGGCCTGAGCCGACTTGCTGAGGGAGCGCTGTCTCCGGTGAAGTTTCCACTCTGGGACCAGCTTGTTCCGGCTGGCTACACACTGGAGGAGCATCAGGCCCTTCTCCATCAGGTTGGGCACCACGCTGTGCTTCTTTGGCAGGCTGGCTCCGCCAACCGGCAACATCCTTGGGGCGGGGCGGAAGGACTGGAGAATGCCTTGGATGGACGGCCCCTGTGGGCCTCTCTGTCTGGAGCAAGGTGTCAAGGGGAGCAGGGGCTCGAGCGTGGACCTGCCACCGGGCACAGCCCTGGACACGACCAGCTTCGGAAGCTCCGTGTCCTGTGGGATCCTGGGAGGGTGTACGGCATCACAGATGTCTCCATAGCAACAAAGCGTGTCATTCGTCTTAATTTGCTGGGATTTGTCTTCACTAGGAAGAACTGTGTATCTCCAATTGCACTCTGCCTTCCGACCATGCGAGGAGGCTCTTCCCTCTGGGGCAGCACACAGTGCACACCTGCACAGCTGACTCCCCTCGGGGTCTGGCGTCCACGTCTTGGGACTTTTGTCTTTTAAGTACTTCTCCATCTCATTTCTTCATCTCTATCCCTGATGCAGCTGTCACCACTCAAATTTGTCACCTTTCCCTTGCAATAATCTCCCCCGAGTTTTTGTGACAGACTCTTAGTCTACATTTACTCCTCTACATCCATCCCCGCCCCGTGACCAGCAGCCCAGCCCACTTCCTCCTCTGCACTTGCTCTTGTCCCAAAGCTGCGCTTGGTTATCACTGCCTGAAACAAGGAGCGTGCTAGGCACCCCGGGTTGAGTGAGGATTGAGGTGGCCCCCTGGGTTCCCGGAAGACCCCTGACATGGGTACCATTGTCCTCACCCACCCGCAGTAATGCTCTGCACCTTCACACTGTGGAGTCCTTGAAAACAGGACCTGTGCAACCCACCGTGTCCCGCCAAACATCTGTGAATTTGCTAGCACGCAGTGAGATGCACCTGGTACTCTGTGTAGACCTGGGTCCAGGCATCTGCCCGCAGTCCTCCTCACGTGTACGGGTGTGCACACAGGTCTGTGCAAACATCCCCCACATGCACACATTCTTCACACACAAAGCCCAGCCTGTCTTGGATGTGAAACCACATTGGATTATGATCGGACCCGAAGCAGGGAGGCCGGAAGGTGGCTGGAGCCGGACCGCTTGAGTTCAGATCCCAGCCCCAACATATTAGTATCTCCTTGTCCTTGGCTAGTCCCTCCACCTCTCTGTGCCAATTTGCTCATCTCCACAACAGGGATACAAATAATACCCATCTCCTAAAGTCGCTGTGAGGATTTAATTAGGAAACAGAGAGAGAGAGAGCTTCCTGCCATAGGTGGCACCTAGTCAGTAAAGCCCCCCCTGGGGACTATCATCATTGCTACGCTCCTCACCCCGCCTTTGGCATCACCTTGCTGCCTGTCCTGGGGGACTGGGAGCACCTGGTAGTTAAGAATGCGAACAAAGGGGATGATTGATAAAAACAAGTCATGCTGACCCCTGCTTTCACCCGTATGCCTTGTCAGCAATCTGGATCCCCCGGACGCCCTACAGCAAATTCCTTCTACCCTTGCCTTTCTCCCTGTCATTTGGCGCCTTTGGTTTTTCACTGATTTCTCACTGAGTGTCCGCCAGGCACCAGACACTGACTGCCCTAGGCCCCAAGGGCACCACGGAGTCTGCCCCAGAGCCCGTGCGGCACTGTGACTGAGGCTTTTCTTGACCTTGTGTCCTAACCTTGCAAGGCCGCTGCTGGCTGGATTCAAGAAAAATTGCTCTGACCCTGGTTAGAATGGAAAGGAAGACTTAATTCCAGGATTGCAACAGGGGAGAGAGATTGAAACTCAACGCTGAATACGGCGGGCCGGTGGGGCTTCAGCCCAGGAGCAGCGAGAGGGGCTGTGGGTGGAACTTGCTAAGAGGGGACAGCAAGGGTGGGGGGGTTCTCCCTAAGGGCAGGCCGAGCACTCAGACGCAGGGCCTGGCCATCAGGGGTGCGGAAGAGGAATTCGGTCATGGGTCAAGGGTCCAGGGACTCTCTGAAAACTGGCCTAGGGTTCTTGCTGAATCTGGGCTTGGCAACAATGGACAGGGGGAGGCCATGAGGGAGGCCCCGGCCAGAAGAGGGCCCAGAGGGGTCTGAGGAAGGTTTGGTCAAGGACAGAGTTTTTGTCAGCTGTAGTCGGTCAGGGACCCAGGCTGACCAGGCTCCACCTCCATGACCAGCGTCTGGGTCTGGGTCACGGACGCAGGAGGAAGCAGCTCTCAGGGCCCCTGGCCTGGAAGTGAGGCCCTCCCTTCCGCTCACATTTGACCCCCAAAGCAGGTCACCTGGGGTGTGGCATTACAAAGGGGTGAGGAAATGCAGGCCTACCCTGATGGGTTGCATCATAACCCCCCCCCAAAGGTATGTTGAAGTCTTAACCCCAGGACCTCAGCATGTGGCCTTATTTGGAAATAGGGTCTTTATAGAGGTCATTAGGGTGGGTGCTGATCCATATGACTGGTATCCTTATAAAAAGGGGAAACTGACACAGAGACTCACGGAGGGGGAGGTCTCCTGAGGGTGGAGGACTGGAGCAAGGCATCTATTAGTCAAGGAATTGCTGCAGAAGTAGGGACAGGTGAGGAAGGGGCCTCCCCTGTAGGTTTTCCACGGAGCACAACTCTGCTGACACCGAGACTTTGAACTTCTGGCCTCCCAAACTGTGAGAGCACCCAGTTCTGTTGTTTAAGCCCCCAGGCCGTGGTGCTTTATTACAGCTGCCCCAGGAAGCTAGCACACCCACCACATGCTGGGATGTTCGGCCCTGAAGGTCGGCCGTCGTGGGAGCTGCACGGACGATCACCACGGACAGGAGACACGCCCCAGGGCTGGCTTGTGGACCTAGCAGGGCGTGCAGTGTCCAGGTGGGGATGGGCCTCGAGGCCACGCACACCCCTAAGAGGGGCATCCTGCAGTCTTTGAGGGGAGCAGGGTGAGGAGGACCCTGAAAAGCTTCCTCTGGGAGGCACGCCGAAGCTGAGTCCTGAAAGTCTGGTGGGCTTGGGCCAGTGGTGGTGCGTGAACTTTCAGGCGGAAGCAGTGAAATCCTGCAGGAGCTGAGGCCCCTCCCTGGCTCCGGGTGGCTCAGTGTGCCTGCAGTTTACAGGGACCGAGGGCAGCTTCTCAAACTGTGTGCTCATGGGAGTTGCCTGGGGAGCTTGTTAAAATGCTGATTCCCATTCACCAGGCCAGGAGCAACTCCTCACCTCTGTGGGCGTTGCCCCCACCCTGGCACTGAGTACCCTGGGGGCGGCACCCGGGCCCTGGTGCTGCACCAAACCTACCTTTGACCCCTGGCAGCCATCCACAGCTCTTGCGCCTGTTCAGCCTCCAGAGAGAAAGGCCGCCCGGCCCTCTGAGGGGCCTCCGGAAATGTAATTCATCCACGCCGGATGGCCTGCATCTTAAGTCGACTTATCCTGCACATGACCCTCAAATTTATTGAGGAACCGTGGAGACATTTTCACATGATGCAGTGATAAACCATTTCATTTTTACAGATTCATACCAAAAATCCACCAATAAAGTATGCAACACCAGCCACGTGCTTAACATGCTTTATTTCTCCTAGTCTATGCAAGCCCTGAACAGGCTTCCTTTCATCCTTCCTTTGCCCTGAGAAACACGGGGGTCTCCCGTGTGTCTCCTGCGTGCCTGGCTCCACGCTCCCAGCTGGGAGAAGGTGGAAACTCCCATCTGCTGGGTCCCTTCTCTCAGGAGGCCTGCAACCCGGAGATCATATGAGGAGATGAACAAAACAATTGGCTCCTTGATAATGTAGAGTTCCAAATAGAATTGTAATCACTCTGGTTGCAGATTAAAAAGCTAGAGAAGATATTTGCATACCCGTAGTCACAACAGCATTACTGACAATTGCCAGAAGCCAGAAGCGACCCAACAGTCCATTGACGGGTGAATGGATAAATAAAATAGAGTATGGCTGCCGGATGGAATAATACTCAGCCCTGAAAAGGAAGGATGTTCTGAAGCATGGAGGAATCTTGAGGACATCATGCTAAGTGAAATAAGCCAGCCATGAAAGGACAAACCCTGTGTGATTCCACATATATGCCACAGCTAGAGCAGCCAAACTCACAGAGACAGAAGGTGTGAGGGTGGGTGCCAGGGTCTGGGAGCGGGAGTCGGGGGTTAGTGTGGAGTGGGTAGGACTTCAGTCTTGCCAGATGAAAAGCGTTCTGGAGATGGACAGTGCACAACAATGTGAACGTCCTCGATACCACTGAACTATATGCTTAAAATGGTCAATTTTGTGTTACTTCTATTTTGCCATGGTTTTATTATTTAAGGAATAACTTTTTTAAAGGTGTTTCCTTTAAAGGAAAGGTCTCCTCTGCCCTTTCCTCCTTCTCTAGCAGATGGAGAGGCGACAGCATGAGAAGAGGTTGGGAAGGGCCCAGAAGAGCTCTCCGGGTTGTCACGGGCTAAATGCCAGCAGTGCGTGTTCTTAGGTCCTCATCGGCACCTGTCGGCTCCCTGCGTGGTTTGAGCATCTCCCGTGAGCCTGACCCTATTCTGGGCACTGGGATGGAAAGTGCTAGCCTAGTCCTTGCTCTTCTTACGTTGCAGCAGAGGAAATGCAAAAGCAAGGGAGCAGACACACAGACACATTTCGGCTCGTGGTAAGGGCTCCGAAGGAGAGAGATCCACAGGGGCCGAGGGGGAGGTAGTGGCAGATGCCGTGGGCAGGCTGGAGAAGATGGGCTCTCACGGTGATGTCAGGGCCCAGAGCTGATGCCAAGGAGTCCAGCCCCGGAAAATCAGGAAGGAGAGCATTGCTAGCACAGAGCTGCTCACCAGCTGGAGGCAGCAGTGAGCTTGGCTTGTTCCAGGAACAGCGGAGGCCAGATTCTTGGGACCTGGACGCCTCATGGTGGGGAATGGCTACGTGGAGAGTGTAAGAGCTTTAGGGGCACAACCAGAATCCCTGAGGGTGAGTTCTACTGTACTGGTTTCCTGGGGATGTCAGACACAGCACGGTAGGCCGGGCTCACACAACACACAGTTCTCGAACACTTCCCGAAGTCCAGGATAAGAGGTCAGCAGAGCTGTTTCCTTCTAAGAACTG